CGAGACACCAGCTGATGAAGAAGGACACAAGTTCAAGAGGGGACACTTGACATGGCCGCTTTTGAACTTGGGTTGCATTCGGGAAACGGACCTGGGAAACCAATGGGGAGCATGAGCTGAGAGTTGGGTGACTCTGAAGGTCAGGCTGTGGTTGAGCTGTATTCATTTCCTTTGACCCAAGTACTGACTCCCTCTTCTTGGGTGCCACTCCCTGATGCCCAGATTGGAGGAATTGAATTTGTAGGGCTTTAGAAAGTTGTCATCTCAATGAAAGGAGTTGTGTAATGTTGCGGGGCACTTCACATGTACTGGAGAAGTTTCCTGTTCTGCCGTAGGTTTCTTGCTCCTGGGAGAGTTGCATTTCCCAGATGGGAAACTTGGGCTTTCCTACAGAAATATTTATGTACTGGCTCTCCTCTCTTTGATGAGCAGCACTGAATGTGTGACACCATTCATTCTCTACAAACTTCAATTTTTGTTTCCAGGTGATATTTTTTTCACTTCTTGTTATACTGATTACTTATTTCTAAAATCCATTTTAGGAGTGGGTTATATTTTTTGGTGGCAAATTTCTTACTTTTTATGTTAAATTTTGGGTTGATTTCAGAAAGCTTGTCCTCAAATTTTTCAGACACATTGAATTTTGAACTCATGAATTCCTCAGTTTTTCTTTTCTTCACTGAAATAAGCTGCTGTTTTAATTCCATTCTCTGTGAGGCTTTGAAGTCCCTTTTTATATGTGTGAACCTCCAAATTCAGATCGCTGGGTCAGTAGAAGGAGCTTTTGCATTTGGTGAAGGTTCTGCTCAGGGATTTCTGAGCTGTTGCTTTTTCCTCTAGGAGACAGAGCCAGTCACACCAGCTAATATTTCACATCAGCTCGCATGTTCTCCTTTTTTATGAGAAGGTAACAACATTGCATGGCATGAAAGGAACAGGATGACTAGATGTTAGCACCGCAAAGATGCATTCCAGCTTTTATTTCCCTTTAAAACAAGTTCCATTTGAGGAGAATGGAGCAGGAGGAGTCTTTGCTGGAGACAATGAATATCTCCATGTTGGAAACAATTTTACATTAGTCAAGATATAGTTAAGCTGCAATTGATAGAATCGCTAACATCATAATGGCTAAACAAGGCAGAAATTTATCTTCCACATAAAAACCCAGAAGGACGCCCAGACTTGAATTTGTGCAAAGACTGACAATGAAATCCAAAGTCTTCAGCGAGGAACTTTTTGGCCTCACAGTCCTCCCAAATAATTGCAGCCTTAGCTGAACTTTGACCTGTGTTCACATGGGTCAGAAGTGATGACTCACTGCAAGGGAGATATGTCTTGTTGGATGAGCACCTGCCTGCTCACAGGTGGAGAGAGGAGCAGGTATTTCACCTTGCAGGAAGAGCTCATGCTTCATCCCGGAGTCGTGGGGTTTGAGCCCCAGCTCCGGCTCTTCATTACAACTTCTCACTGAGGCAGACCGTGAGAAGAAGCTCAAACCTTTGTCCCTGCTTTCCCCACTCAGATTCCAGTTCCTGGCTTTGCCTTGGCCTGTCCCTATCTTTATGTGTATTGGGGTGAAAGAACCAGATGGGAGATTTCTCTGTCTGTCTGTCTGTCTGGATATCTCCCTCTGTACCTCTCAAATAGGGTAAGTAAGTGAATACAGAAAATGTTTTTCAATAATGAAGAACACGAGAACGGCTGTCAGGGGACGTCTAGAAGTCTGCCACCAGGACTTTGGAATTTGACCTTTGTTCTCCCAGGTCTCCCTCAAGCTTTGGACATCTGCACTCGCTTAGTGGACATTTGATGCACGGCTGGTTGGAGACAAAGCTGAAAGGTTTCATCATCACTTAAATAAAAACAAAGCACAGTCAGATGAGTAATAGTCTACTTTCATCTTAAGGAGAGGGATGTCACCTTTCACCAAAAACACCATTTCTGGGTCATGCCCGGGGACTGGGGCTGCAGGTCAGCATCACCAACGAATTTTTTTCCTGCCCTTCATTTGCACTCAATCAGAAAGTCTTCATCTACACCCAGGAGTAGCAGTAAGTGATTGATGACTATCTAGCCATCCTGGATATTCCCACCAGAGGCTGACTTGGAGGTTGGGGAAATATCTCACTCAAGGCTACTTTCTGGGTTTCGCACAAACCATGTCCTGTTTTCAAACCAGGAGATTGAGTGTTTGTTCTTTGGACAGCCATGTAAATCCCTTATCTACTCTTAGATTTGGTTTTAGTTAAAAAACATGTCTTTGTGTTCTGCTGGCAGCCCTTGGGTGTGGTGTTTTTCACTTGGTCTAGTAACTTGTCACGTTTATCTCCAACGGGAAGAAGAAGCCACCAAATGGAACAAAATCTGCCTGAACTTACACAGTACTTTCTTTTTAATGGTCCATCGTGTAAGCAGAGAATTGTTTGCATCTCTCCACCTTGGATTGAGTGCTGGTGAGGGTGCCTGGCCTAAAGCAGGGTTGTGGACCATCTGAGCCCCGGCAGGTGCCTCCACCCTCGGACTGACATGTCACTACACATGCAGCCAGTATACATTATGGCTATTGATGTTCTTCTCAAGTGTTTTTAACTGTGGGCTGTGCTGGCCTCTCATTTCACAAATGAATCTTCATGAGAGATTTTGGATTCCTCTTTATTCTTCTACCTTATAAATCATGAGCTTTTGTCCTAAAGTAGTGTTAAGGTTTGGATATCTGAAATACAGAGTGCACTATGGAGTCACCGTTTGAAAAAATCCTAATAGTCTCCCTTTGCAACGTGCACATGAAATGCCTTAGCTGTGATTTCCAGTGTTTATCTGAGCACTGCTGCTCAGTGTTTTTCAGTGGGAGAAGTAGTCTTCAACCTGTGCATGCTTCTCTCTGTCATCGTGAAAAACCAAACGGGGCTGGCACTGTGGCATATCAGGTTAAGCTTCCACCTGCAGCACCAGAATACCACATGGATGCTGGCTGTTTCACTTCTGACTCTGTGTTTTGCTGGTGTACCTGGAAAAACACCCAGAGTGCTTAGGGCCCTGACCTGTGTGGGAGACCCAGAAGAAGCTCCTGAATCCTAATTTTGGACTGGCTCGTCTCTGGCCATTGTGGCTCTTTGGGGAGTGAACCAGGAAGTGGAACATCTCTCTTTCTGTGTTTCCACCCACTGTCCAATAAGTCTACCCTTTAAATAAATAAAACAAAATTTTTTTCAAAGAAAAGGCAGAAACAATGGGGTGATGATTTTCAGTATTATGGTCAAGCCAAGGTTGTAGGGCATGTGTTTTGTTAGCAGCAGGGTCTCTTTCTGGGAAGCAGCTGGGGACAGGTTTTCAAGAGGGAAAACTGGTTTTACTTGAACAGCATTACTTTTACCATATGAAGGGTTGACACCGTCTCAACATTGACCTCCGAGCATCCTGCTTCCCAAAATACACATTAAATCCGTAGGAACCTCCTTGCTCTATTAGCCTGAGTGTCTGGGCATGTGGGAGTGGGTGGGCAGCAGCTGCTGAGCGCTTCCCTCTGCCCAGTTTCCTCGCTAGGACCTAGCTGCCCCTCTGCCTCAGTGGCTTTCTTCCGGGGCCAGTGTCATGGTGACCAGTGTCATGGGAAGACACTGTAGTGTCTTCCCATTGGATGCGTGGATTCCATGTGACTTCAGCCACCATTTGAGGAGGGATTTTAGCTCTTAGCCTGTTTACCTTCTCTCTGAACTTGCAACATTTGTGATGGATTTTAGAGCCTTCTCGCCTATAAATGGGACTTTTGCCATTTTTCTGCTTGATTCTGGTTCTCTTTCATTCTTTAGGGACCGAGTGAATTAAATTAATATCAGAAAAGATTTTTCCCCTGGGTGTACTTATTCTGAAACAATTTAAGATGTTCTGTGAAGATGAGTTTGGCTCTCTCTCACGTTTGCGGCAAGTGCTTGTAACAGATGTGATGACCCGGGCCCTGTGGGTTATTGAATCAATCAGATGTAATTTTCAAAGAGTTACTACTGCTTTCCTTTCCTTCCTGTTCATTTATGGGTGAGATCAGCACACAGTCCAATCTCTTGTTCCATGTTCTGTAGTCACTCCGGAGCCCTGTTCTTGACTTGTGTTTGGGACATTACTGGAGTTACACTATCTTAATTATCTACAGCATCACATTTAAGCTTAACTCGATTCCTATTGAGATTTGGGGCTACAACACAGCCTAACTGAAGGACAAAAGCACAAACTTGAACAATAAACAATGAAAGTATGTGAATGCAGAGCAATTGTTATCTGCTTACTGAGCACCAGCTGTTGCATATTGACCAGTGGTTGTTAAGAATATAACAGTGGTAGTAATGGGGGTATTTGGTGCAATGGTTAGGATGCTAGTTCAAATATCCTCATCCCATATCAGACTGCTTGGGTTCCAGCTCCATTTCTAAGACACTATGGGAGGCAATGGGTTATGGCTTCAGAATTTGGGACCTTGCCACTCATATGGGAAATTTTTTCCAGACTCTTGGCTTCAGCTTGGTCTAGCTCTGGTTGTTGGAAGCATTTGGGGAGTAAATCAGTAGATGAGAGGTTCTCTCTCTGTTTCTCCCTCTTTCTGTCCCTCCCTTCCTTTCCCCTTGTCTATCTGCCTACCTATCTGTTAATCATCTGTTTCTCTATTGTCTGTGTGTCACATCTCATTTCTCTTTACCTCCCTTTTTTTTAAAAACAACTAAGTGGAGTTTCTGTGAAAAGCACAATTACTTATGTTTCAGATATGTAAACAAAGTAGTTGTAACTCTTGTTTTCCTCTGAAGCCACCCGTCTCCAGGGGCCATGCTACTCTCTCTCTCTCTATTTTTTTTAATGAGAATATTCCTGGAACACAAGCAAAGCATGGAAAGAAAACAAAATCAGAAATGGAGTGAGCAATGGGTTCAGACTTCTAGCTTGGGAGAGTTGGGGCACAAGGAATGTCATCTATGTCCTTACAAATGTTTCCATCTCTTCTTTGTACCTTGCAGAGTAAAAGCCAGGGATCCGTCTTTGTCCGGATACACGCCCCGTGGCAGGTGCTGGCCAGAGAGGCAGAATTCTTGAAGATCAAAGTTCCCACCAAGAAAGTATGAGCATGTTTCTCCTGGGGTTTGGGCCTCTGGAAAATAGTCCGGGAATAAAATCATGTGGGATGTGGGTTCTATGGATCAAAATTGTATTTGCCTCCCCGGTTACTTAGCTGTAATGTGGGTGGGATGACAAAGATTTGGAGGGATGGGAACAGAGATCATTCTATGCCAGAGTGGCACCAGTTAGGTTTGAGGAGAAGCCAGGCCTTGCCATAGTCTTTCTAGTATCTCGTCTTTCTGTTCTATCCTATTTCTCCTTGGGGATTCCAACACAGCCAGATCTTTCTCTAGGGTGTATGTAACAAGAGCAGACAGCAAGCCATACTGATGTTTCTAAACTATGCAGGGAAAATAGCATCAAACTTTCCATAAAGATACTTTATTTGGTCATGGTTCTGTCCCTAAACCTTAAGTGATGTTAAGCTTCCATGGTCTGTTCTACAAAATGAAATGTTTCTATTCAGTTGAGTTGAAGCAAATCATCTGAGCAGTGTTTGCAAATTGTTCATGCCAATGTGCTTTCCGTGGAAGTTTGATTCAGTTGGTTAGTGTGGAGTTAGATTCTGGCATCAGTGTTATGAGAAATATCAAATCTCTCGGAGTTTCTGATGCACACTTGGATTGAGAATCACACAGTTGGTGGTGATGGTAGAGGCAGTTTTCAATGAAAATATGCCCTCCCCCATTTCCTTCTCTGTACCTTTAATAAAATTAACCCCCCTTCCACACCAAAAAAAAAAAAAAAAGAAAGAAAAGAAAAGAAAAAGGAAAAGGTGGCTGGTACTGTGACTGAGCTTCTGTCTGTGGTGTAACATCCCATTTGGGCGCTGGTTCATGTCCCATCTGCTGTACTGTGCTCCAGATCCCTGCTTACAGCCTGGGAAAGCAGCAGAAGATGGTTTAAGTTCTTGAGCCCAAGTCTAAGTCTCCTGGCTTCAGATTGGCTCAGGTGCTGGCCATTGTGAACGTTTAGGGAGTGAACCAGCAGTGGAAGAGCACTTTATGTCTCTCCTCTGTGTAACTCTGTCTTTAAAATAAAGATTTAAGTAAATCTCAAAAAGTCTCTATAAAATTTGTTTTCTGATAAAATTCTTATTATTTTAAAATCTTATTTGAAAAGCAGAAAGATAGGGGAAAATGGGAGAGAAAGAGAGAGCAATGAGAGAGAGAGATAGCTTTTCCATCTGCTGGTTTGCTTTCCAAATGTCTGTATCAGCCAGAACTGAACTAAGGTAGCAGCCTGAAGCTACAGTTGAGTGTCCCATATCGGTGGCAGAAATTCAGTTATTTGAGTCATCATCTACTGCCTCCCAGGGGTTAGTAAGCAGGATGTTGGAGCAGAAGTTAAGGATCCAAGACCTGAACTAAGACACTCCCAATATGAGAAGTGGACACCCCAAGTGGTAACTTAACTACACTCTAAATTCCTCCCCCAATTATAATTATAAAATGTCCCCAGGGAATTCCTAAAGTTCGTATTTCCTTGTGTAACCAAATGCAGCAAAGAGCGCCAGAGATAAACATGTTCACAGATTCCTCTTTGGTCCTTGGCAAGAAGGTGAGCTAAAGCCTCCAGCCCACACTGTTGTTTTCATTCTCCAGACTGATCCTGGACAGGAAACGCAGAGGTAGAGATGCTTTTGTTCTTCCTCTTGCCGTGAAATGCAGTCCTGGCTTTGCAGTTCCCGTTCCTGCCCTTCTTCCCTTTCATTTCATTTCATCCCAGCACCCACCACTTCCTCTCCTGATGCCTCCTCTAGCTTCAGCCTCTGTTCTTTGCACACATCTCCTTTCTCTTCTCCCTACTTCTTCTGCTTGTTCCCAACTGAGTCCTGCAAACAGCACCTGCTCACCCTTGTCTCTGCTGTGTCCTTTAGCAGGCATACATGAGAACACAGTTTTCTATGACTCACATTTCTGTCCTCTGCATTTCAGTGACCTATGTATTAGCCACGTAGAGCTTGCCATCTGTAGTTTGAATAGTACCTGAACTTGTAGAGCTGAGTATGATGAAGTGGCCCAGACTCTATTCTGTACCCATTACTGTGTGGTGCAGCGATGTCATCTCACCTCTCTTCTAGGATACGGGAATAATGAGAATACACAGTTTCTCTTAGGAGATGGTTATGAGCATCCAATTCTTTTTTTTAAATAGTTTTTTTCCGTTGCTGTCATGTTGTTTTGTTTAATAAGACCTTCTTTTTCTTCTTTTTTTTTAAAAATTATTTATTTTTATTGTAAAGTCAAATTTACAGAGAGAAGGGGAGATAGAGAAGGATCTTTCTTCCTATGATTCATTTCCCAAGTGTCTGGGACAGCTAAAGCTGACCCGATCTAAGCTAGGAGCCAGTATATTTTTCAGGGTCTCTTATGTGGGTGCATGGTTCCCAGGTCTTGGGCCATCCTCTACTGTTGTCCCAGGACACAAGCAGGGAGCTGGAAGGGAAGTGGAGCAGCCATATGGGATCCTGGTGCATTCAAGAGAGGACTTTAGTCACTAGCTACTGCGCCAGGCTTGCAACTAATTCTTTCTTCAAGAAAGATTTATTTACTTATTTGGAAGGCAGCTATGCTCACCGCTATACCACCAACGCTTATTTACTTATTTGAAAAGTGGAGTTACAGAAAGAGAATCTGTAGCCTACTGGTTCACTCCCCAGTGGGCTATAGCAGTCAGAGCTGGGCCAGGTCAAAGCCAGAAGCCAAGAGCTTCTTCCGTAGGTACAAGGGAATAAATACTTGGGCCATTCTCTGCCACCTTCCCAGGCACAACAGCAAGGAGCTAGATCTAAAGTGAACAGCTGGGACTTGATGCTGGCACTGCAGGTGGGAGCTTAACCAGCTGTGCCACAGCACCAGTCCTAAGCATACGATTTTTGTAGAGTGCAGTGAAGGAGTTAGTTTAGGGGCATGTTTTCTCGGGTATGTTTTAAAATTTATTTTTATTAAAAGCAGTGTTACAGAGAGAGAAGAGAGACAGAGAGAGAGAGAGAGAGAGAGAGAGGGAGCGAGAATCTTCTACTTGCTGGTTCACTCCTCTAATGGCCACAGTGGCCAGAATGGAGCTGGTCTGAAGCCAGGAGTCAGTGAGTTTATCCAGGTCTCCTAGAGGGGTGTATAGAAGCCCATAGCTCTACTGTTTCCCCAGGCCATTAGCAAGGAGCTGGGGGGAGGTGGAGCAGCCAAGACCCAAACTGATGCTCATATAGGATACTGGGCCCTCAGTGGAGCTGCACCGTGATGTTGGGCCCATCAGATATTTAAGTGCATTCTCAACTCCGAGACCACCATTAGTTTTCTTTGTGACTCAGTGGACGACCAGTGTTGATGGACCTCCTGTGCTCAGAAAGTCTTTGAGAGGTGCTTGGGCTGTAGGAACCAGCCAAGTCCTCTCAGGGCTGACAGGGAGCAGGGAGAGCAACAAACTCAGACATCAAAGCAGTGGCAGAGCCTTGTGTCAAATGGCAGTGACCTGCGCGTAAAGCCCAGACCCTGCTTGTCTCTGTGGTGGGCGGAGAGTGTATGGCGGTCAGCAGAATCATGTGGGTGCTCTGTGAGACTGCAGACATAGCAATGAAACTTGTCCCAGTGTCTGGCTCTCAGACGTGACACAGGTGGACACTTCTGGCATCTTCTTGAAAGTTTAACCACATGGCCCTGGACTGTCTTTGTTGTCATCGGATGCAGTGGCTTATATTTGACCTCACGGGGGTGTTACGAGCAGGCAAAGGGATATAGCTTGGTATGTGGGGTCGGATGCATCTGTTTGTACAAATTAGTCTGAGACTCTGATCCCAGGGGTGGGGGTGGGGTTAATGGAGCTCCTGAAGTGGGAAGGAGCATGGCAGGAGAGATAGGCTGATCCAGGAGGGTTAGTGCTGGGCCACTTTCATCTTTTACTTGTGGGCCAGCATGGTGACAAAGGGGAAGCTAAGTCACGTTTACAGATAATGGCATCCTGGCAGAAGGGGGAAAGTGGAAGGAGGACCAGGTATGGCATGGGTCAGGTTTGTGTTCTCCGGGCCAGTGGAGGTTTGGATCGTAACCCAGCAGGGTCCAGAGAGACTGAGAAGATGGGGAGGAAATCATGAAGTTGAGATCTAAAACCCGGACCAATCTGTTGTTATGCATCCAGGGACTCAGTGTCCTGAGCACAGATATTAATTTGGGGCGGTGGGGAGGGAGAGATCTTAGAAGGAAGCATCTGCTTTTCCAAAAACAACAACACAAAAGCCAGCACTTGGCAAGCGACATTTCACATCCATGAACAGGAGGTGGGGGTTGGCGGGGAGAGGCCTGGTCACTGGCCCTAAGCAGCCAGAGAAGGTTTGAGAAGGGTGTGGACCAGAGGCAGGTGCTTTCTTGCCTTGCTCATTACTGAGGTGGCCCTCTGAGACTGTGGTCAGCATCTCAGCTTATTTCTCATCCACTTGTTATTACTGAAGAATGAACAACCCCTTTCTTCATGCCTGAGGTTCATGATCCCTTATCCTTTTGCAGAAACCCAACTGAGGGGGTCGGGGATGGAGGGGTTGGGAGCTGAACTTCTTAACAAAAGTGTTCTCCACAACAAGATGCCACTGATCTAAGCAGAGGCCACAACACCCCTTCTCTGGAGTGGGTGCAAATCACTTTTGCCCACTCTGTTACAGCTTTGGTAGTTCATACTAAACGAGTGACCGATACTGAAGGAGTCTTGATTACTGTTCCTGGGAATCTGGAAGGATTTTACATGATAAGTCCTTTGCATTTAAGTATATGTCATTAACTTCCAGCAAGGCATAGTTGTTTAGGAAAGCAGGCTTGGAGCGCCGTGTGCTCTGTCCATAGGAGCGATAAACGCTGGTATAAGCAGTGACGATGTGTGTGGAGTGCTAGCTGTGGAGGCACACACAATGCTGAGAACAAGTGTTACTGTTGGTATTTGCTGCAATTGTTGTTCACGGTGACATGTGTAGGGCAATGCACCTGACCTCCGATCGCCTGCTATGCCTTTT